ATTTTACACTGCTATTTTCAATCATTAATACATCAAGAAATTGACGTAAACATTGGGACAATTTACCATGGTTTTTACTATAGATACAAACTATGGTTACAACGTAGGAACTAACATAAAAATATATGTATCATACGTACTCTCAACAGTAATTGCTTAACAGTAGTTGAACAGTAGTTGAACAGTAGGGAATATTCTAGTGTTGTTAAAACGATGGTCTCGTTTTATCCAACAGGACTTCTATAACTGGTCTGATGAGTCTTTTGAAGAGATGGACAGCACACTGGCAGTGCAACAGGTGAGAGCTTTTCTTACTTCAATGTATCACAAAAAGAAGATTTTTGAGAGGTGCTGTTTTCCAGACAGTGGCCATGGGCTGTCAAGCTCCAAAAATACATTAAATTCTTAAATTTAAAAAAACAATTAATTTAATATACTATTTTATATCCGAGTCATGCAGCTTTCAGCTATTTTACACTGCTATTTTCAATCATTAATACATCAAGAAATTGACGTAAACATTGGGACAATTTACCATGGTTTTTACTATAGATACAAACTATGGTTACAACGTAGGAACTAACATAAAAATATATGTATCATACGTACTCTCAACAGTAATTGCTTAACAGTAGTTGAACAGTAGTTGAACAGTAGGGAATATTCTAGTGTTGTTAAAACGATGGTCTCGTTTTATCCAACAGGACTTCTATAACTGGTCTGATGAGTCTTTTGAAGAGATGGACAGCACACTGGCAGTGCAGCAGGTGAGAGCTTTTCTTACTTCAATGTATCACAAAAAGAAGATTTTTGAGAGGTGCTGTTTTCCAGGCAGTGGCCATGGGCTGTCAAGCTCCAAAAAGTGACAAAAATGCACTAAAAGATTTTTGTTGTTGTCAGTAAGTCTTTTTAAGCAGTGAAGTAACTTTATATGTGGAACAGACTGAAGTTATTTGCTGAAGATTAATATATTTTCACTTCTTGACCGCTTTTTATGTTGTTATTGGTAGTTGTTTTTCGTTTTTTTCATTTTCAGTATATTCAGCAGAACATCCGCTCAGATTGTTCCAACATAGAGAAGATTATGGAGCCTCCAGAGGGACAGGATGAGGGGGTTTGGAAATATGAACATCTCAGGTATATTATTAGTCTGAATGTCAACTCGGATCCTTCATTTCATCCTTAACGTCATCTAGTGTTAAAATAATGTATATAGTTTTTGATGACAAAATAGGTCCCACTATATATTAGGTGTCTTTCAGAACGATGTACTTGCATTTTAAAAAAATTGTACTTCGTGTTAAAGTTGTATTGCAAAATGCTTTTGCTGCTGTTGAGCTGGGATGTGGTTTTGTGGCATGGTTAGGTTAAGGGGTATGGTCAACAGTCTAAATATAGATGTAATTACATGCTGTTTTTGTAAATATACATACAACATAAAACATGTATGAACACAGTAATGACATTGTATCAAATTATTTATTTAAATGTTAGTACATAGTAGTTTAACACAATATAAAGTAGGTCTACAAAATGTTTATCAGATGCTCTTTGTTGCTGTGTCTTGGGAGTTATTGAATTGAGTAAATTATAAATATTTTGTTTTGTATATACATATAGACAGTTCTGTCTGGAGCTGAATGGCTTAGCAGTTAAACTGCAGGTAATTATCTTTCTTACACTGTTACATCACAAATAACTCTAGTCTGTACAGCACTATTAATTTAAAAGTAACGTTTGTCTCCTTGTCAAACACCAGGTTGTTTTAGTTGTTGCAAATCTTTACAGTTCTCTATTTATGAAGACGATACAATGTGTGATGTCTGTGCTCCATAGAACGAGTGTCATCCTGACACGTGTACCCAGATGACTGCCACTGAGCAGTGGATCTTTCTGTGTGCTGCCCATAAAACTCCCAAAGAGGTGAGTGTCCTCTGTGTTTAGTTTAGATCAAACCTTTTGTTGTTGCAGCCCTAATTAATTTCTTAACAGACTGAATTAGAGAAGCCAAAAAAAATGGATGATTGTGTCTTATGTTGATTTGTTTGTTTTCTGTGGCTCACAGTGCCCTGCCATTGACTACACAAGGCACACTCTCGATGGAGCTGCGTGTCTTCTCAACAGCAACAAGTATTTTCCCAGCCGGTGAGTTATTGAACATCTAATCCATTAAAGCAGGTGTGTTTAGTGCTTCTCTTAGAGATGTCTGTCTGCAGAGTTTAGTTCCAACGCTGCTCGAAAATCAACTTGACTAGTGTCAGGTGAAGGTTTGATCTAAACTACATGAAGGAAGATCTCCATGAGCAGATTTGAGCACTCCTGCATCACTATGTCCATTTCTAGGACTTTCTAGCTGTAAACAGGCTGTTGATGTTTATGTAACCATTGACCCTCTCGCTGCTTTCCATATAGTGTCAGCATTAAAGAATCATCTGTGGCCAAACTGGGCTCGGTTTGCCGTCGCATCTATAGGATTTTCTCCCATGCTTACTTTCACCACCGCCAGATTTTTGACAAGTATGAGGTAAGCAAGATAATTTATGTAATTCATAAGCACATTTCATAAAACGGAGTATCGGCTTTGCTTCTACTGCACTGCCTATTGTCAAGTTGTTGAACTGCCTATTTAGGCATCATTTCACAATCCTGAACCTCTTGGAAAAGTAGGAAAACACTTTAGTCATGAAAATTATTTGGTAATAAAACTATTTTACCAAATATTTGTGTGCTGTATTTTTCTGCTTAAAGCAATTGTAATCAGGAATTGCTACCCATCTTTGAAAGCAGCTCACAGAGTTTTTGGAGTCATTACTTAATTTCAAGTGAATATTAAGCTTGATAATGACAGTGGTCATGACGAAGCAACGAAGCAGCATTTCCTGCTGTGGTCAGTAGGAGGCATCTTAAGACTTCTAAAAAGACAGTGAGAACAGCATCAAATAGACTTTATGAAAAGATCATCTCTTTCCCACAGAATGAGACTTTCTTGTGTCACCGCTTCACTCGTTTCGTGATGAAGTACAACCTCATGTCTAAGGACAACCTCATTGTGCCCATCCTGGAAGAGGAAGTCCAGAGTGCCACTGCTGGGGAGAGTGACGCCTGAGCTGCATCTCGTGCATTTTGAGCCTCTAGCATCCAGACAGCAGAGGCGTACAACTTTAGTCATTTGACATGTGCTACTTTTCCACTCACTAATACTTCGTTTGATCCAAATTTCATCATTCAGCTGTAACAATCAAAATGTTGCATCGACAGCTCCTTGTACATATCTCACTCCATCTCTATTGTAAATCCTGCTTAAATAGTAAGAATTTCCTTTATTTTTTCCCCTCACTAGACTATAAATGAGTCTGGTGATATTCACCGTCTTTTCCCTCGTTAAGTTATTACATGGGTGAAGGGCTCTTATCCAGCTCGCTTTGTCCTTTTTTTTTTTTTTAAATAAACTAAAATGTATGGTATTTTCATTGTCAATTGTTAATAAAAGACTTGTACCTACCTAGTCTACGCTTATTCATTAGCTTTTTATGCCATGTTCAACTGCTAAGCGACAACACAAACAGCCACTTTAATATGAGGTAAATACCCATTTAATAAAACATTACAAAAACAGCCTGAGAAGCCAGAAACACGCTGTTTTCGTGCATGTATCTTTAAATGCAAATGAGCTGCTGCTCCCCGCCCCCTTTTCCAAAATAGGGCTGTTTCTTTACAGCTTGTAAGTCAGATACTCTGATAAAAAAAAACATCTGTTTAGTTTAGATTATCATGTCTTATCGCGCTGAAATCATGCGTTTTAAAGCCATATCAGTTCAAACTTCTGATATAGGGTTTTCTGAGCACACACATCTGAAGCACGCGCACAGAAAGCGGCTGTCACAGCATGTGAGTTCTAAACTAAGCTCTCTTTCATGTCTTATTGCGCTTAGACCGTAATATACAGCGTAATATACAGTAAATAAATAAATCCACTGCTGTCTTGTCTCCTCTGAGGTTGGGACTCTAAATAGTGTCCTGTGCTCATCTGTGCAGCTAACGATAGAACAGTTAGCAGCATGCTTAGTTTCTGCCATGACGTTAGAACTGGTACACCGTTGTGGCTTGCAAAAACAAGAATGGCGGTGCCGTGAGTGGAAACGTGCAGATTAAGGGGCGGTGATATTATAATAAGATCCTTTTGCCACGTCACCAAGGGAGCGAAATCTGACACGCTCGTCTTTTCAGACGCTTGCAGAAAAAGGCTTCCCAAAACAAAGTTACTGGGTTAATCTTTTTCACGTTTCCTGGGTTGGTAGATGCACCGGGGACCCGATTATAGCACTTACAACCGGAAAAAGTCAGATTTTCATGATATGTCACATTTAACTGAAATTTTAAAAATTAAACATTTTTAATAAAGCTAAAATAAAATATAAATATTAGAAAATCTAATGTCTAATTCATTTTTATTTATTAGTTTTAGTTATGTTAGTAATTCATGGTCAACTGAATGATAATCAGAAGAGTTGCCTTGCCAACTAACTGAAATAAAATAGCTTAATATTTTATTTTAGTTAATATTTAATTTGTTTCAAGTAATGATATTGTTTATTGTTTTAGCTGATGATGATAACCCTTCTGTTAACTAACTGAAACAAATTACTAAAGCACTAAAATTACTAAAGCTTAAACTAAACTAAAATAGAGATAAAAATGAACACTAAAAAGCCATTTAAAAAAACTAAAGTAAGAAAATATACAAATAAAAGCCAAATCAAAATACGAATAAATACAATAAATGTATATACGAATATAATACTAAAATAACTGGTTTGTGAGTGGTTGTTCAAAATGTAAAAAAGTTATCCCAAGTTAATTATGGTTGAACTATCACTTTAAAAGTTGGTCTTCCTCAAAAAAAGGGACTGCAAATAGAAAATTGTGTCCTTGAAATATGCCTGATAGACTAAATTACAAGTAAAGCAACAGATTTACAAATGTAATTGTTTAAAATGACATTAGCAAACAGGCACCTGGTTGTGCTGTGGTACCCTTTGGCCTTTGGCGGGTCTTTGCAGGAAGACAACTTGCTTGGTGGCGAGATTCCCTTCGCTGCAGGAAAAGAAAAATACGGTGATGAGGTGTAAAGAAACATGATTATATGGCTTGTACTGTGAGGGTCCCACCTGTCATGGCGAATAATTGGGGTGGGCAGCACACAAGTGAGCAGCCAGCCGAATTCTGCTAATGTGTGGAGCAGAGGACCATAGTCTGTCTTTACATCTGAACCCTGTGACACAAACAGGAAATCATTAAAGACAACATAAAATGGCACACACTTAACTTCCTTCGTGTGATAATTTGACACCTTTTAGGCATTTCATACATGCAGTCACACCTCTATAACGGTCCACTGTTCCACTACAATAGTGTCATTGGCAGGGGGCGCTATGCTTTTCTCCTCATAGACAAACAGCCCCTCTAGAGACCTGGGCACTGGCTCACCTGTAAAAACAACCATTAAACATCTACATCATACTGTAGGAACTAGTAAATGACAATTCACAGCTAGATTTTTACATTGTTATGTCTGGATGTTCATTTAATCCTTCAAATGCCTAACCTGGAGCATGAGTATTATTGAAGATTTCCTTTTATCATTATCATTCAGATCTGAATGTTAAAAGTGACTGTTTATAATGCAGGAGACCATTTTATTCTGTTATTCTATATTTTCACCCACTGAACCACTGAGACAAAATTTGTAGGTCTCATTTAGTCAGTGCTGGAAGTATGTCAATGACCTACAAAAGATAATGAAACTGAACTACTTGTAAGACAGCAAGATAAATCCACGTGCACCAACATGTGTGAGAGGATGAAAGAAGAGTGAATAAGATTGTAGAGCCAACACTGCGAATATTACAGAGAACATTTCTGCAATTAAATTATACATCCTTTATAATATATACAGGTAGACAACATACACATATAATAACGTTCAAAAGTTTGGGGTAGGTAAGATTTAAATAATAATAATAATACTTTTATTCAGCAAGGATGCATCAAATTGATCAAAAGTGACAGTAAAGACATTTGTAAGATTTCTATTAAAAAAAAAATGCTGTTTTTGAACTTTCTATTAATCAAAGAATCCTGAAAAAGTATGCATCCACAAATAACATTTAACTGTTTTCAACATTGATAATAATAAAAAAAAAAATTCTTAAGCACCAAATCAGCATATTTGAATGATTTTTGAAGGATCATGTGACACTGAAGACTGGAATAATGACTGCTGAAAATTCAGCTTTACCATCACAGGAATGAATGACATTTTAAAATTGAAAAGAGTTATTTTAAACTGTAATAATATTTCCCAATGTTAATTTTTCTAGTGTATTTTGAAGAAAAAAACAAAAGTATCCTTGGTGAGAACAAGAGATTTCTTTAGAAAAAGTCTTGAAAGTCTTATTCCAAAATGACCGCCAAATTAACATACACATTATATACAGTACACACATATTAAACATATACATATGGGAACATATGACATGGGAAGAGAGCGAGATTATAGAGCCACTTTGTAAACTGCTTTTCATGTTCAAAATTTACAAGCTCTAGATGTCTCAAACATACACACATCTGATTTAGCTCCTATTAGTCTGGTGTGAAACAGGAAGCACGGTCGTGAGGTTAGGGACGTGAGCTCTAAATGTAGTTGTGGTGGGAGACAGGAGAAGGGAAATATGGCTTTGGTTAAAGATAGGGAGACATGGAGGATGTATAAAGACGAGGATTAAAAAGATGACTTCTGAGAATGAAAAGATATACTTGGTTTAAAAAACAAACAACAAAAAAAATCAGATGACAGTGCTTCTGGATTGGTAAAAACAATCAGGTAACTCCTTATATGATCATCTTATCGTCTTCCTTAGGAAGAACTAAAGAGGATGTTGACATCTTCCTTTCACAAACACAAACATGTCAGGCGGATAAACAACCAGCTCAGGGAATCGTGACAGTCCAAAATAAGTCCGAGAACTACCTTTAGGTGTGTCCCAGTATACAAAGGAGTCGACCAATGACCAGCCCTTGCGGTAGTAAGCTGCGGTCAATTCCAGCCAATCAGCTTCGAGGGCACTGACAACTTGGCCTTTCCTGGACACGCGCATGGACAGCGCCCCCTGGTGGTAACAGCAGACCAGAGAGTCCAGCGGAGCACAGCCCGGAGCCCAGGAGTGAAAAAGCACCAACAATCTCAGGTCTGAAAACGATAGCGAGTCTCACATGATTTGTATGACCAATGCAGATCAGTGCAACCTCAAAATCTTTGGCATATTTCAGTAAAGGGTTAGTTCACCCAAAAATGAAAATTAGCTTGTGTTTTACTAGTCCTCAAATAAAGCACGCGCATCCATAATAAAACATGCCTCACACGGCACCAGGGGGTGTATAAAGGCCTCCTGTAGCGAATCCATGTGTTTTTGTAAGAAAAATATCCATATTTCAAACGTAATAAACGCTTTTCTCTCACTTCCGTTATCTGTCATACGCGGAAGGCGTTCCGGCGGATGACGCAGCACGTATGTACAGCACGCGTGCCTCTGAGATATGCTAGTCTTGCGAGTTTGTTTATAGGAGCAAAGGAAGCAAAGTTTCCTTACTTTAGCAAAGGAAAACCAGTCTCCTCTTGGCTTATATCGGAATCCTCCGACATTGTTTTTTGCAAATCCTCGGTTTGTACTTCTAATTCGTGACCGGCGTTTTGTTTTATTGTTCTCTCTCCGCATTCGTCACTAATCACGCAATGCCAACGTGCTGCGTCTTCTGCCGGAACTGCTTCAGTGTATGACAGAAGTGAGAGAAAAGTGTCTAAGCTGAAAGTTCAATGCAAACGGAGATATCCTCTTTTAAAATTCTGGCAGTTTAATGCCTACAAAAACGACTGTTAGGGACTACAACAAGTTACTTGCCGGGTTCGTGACATCACAAACCCAGATAAACCCCACCCTCGGGAAAAGGCAGCAAAGGGGGCGAAGCCATGCTGTGCTGCTTTAGAGAAGAGGAAGAGAAAACAAGAGGTGCACGTAAAAATCTATTCATATAAGAATCACGATTCTAGTCTGAAAGAAGAAAGTAATATACACCTAGGATGCCTTGAGGGCGAGTAAAACACAAGCTAATTTTCATTTTTGGGTGAACTAACCCTTTAAGTCATGCAATGATCATTGCTTTAGACACCATTTTTAATAGGTCAAACTATCAGTCCATCTACCATAACTAATAAGTGTAACAGGGCAGATAAACAGCCTACACTAACACTACCTAAACACTACCAGCCTCTGACTGATCTTAATATCACATGTGGCCCCGAAATGGTTGCCATGGAGAATCGAGAGGTTGGTATGATGCCCAGAGGGTAAGGAGACGCCAAGGCTCCACAGAGGACAAAGATATTACAGGGTTAAACCAAATTAAACTGACACCAAACTGAAGAGGATGAAATAAAAAAATAAAAGCAAATAGTAAGGTTATTAAAAATTATAGTCTAGTTATTATTTTAACGATCTCTTTGTCAACATCTTAAAGTAAAAAAAATTCCAAATACAATTTTCCTGTTTGCTTCTGGGGTGAAATATGACATGTTCTTTGTGAGTTTAACCCAATCGTTCATGATTCAAAGCATTTATAGTCCATCTGTGTATTGGATTTAAATCTATAAAAACTGTTTAGTAAGTTAGACTACAGATGGTCCATAATGAGATTAGAGGAACATCTCACCTGGGCTGTAGCCACGGCCCTCTAGATCTGCGTCTCCGGGCGGTGTGCGGGGCGGGGAACGGCAGCCCCTCCTGGGACTGGGCACTCTACCGTTACACCCTCCTCCTCCAGCCTGCTGGAGCACTGACCCCACGAACCTCACGCCACCCCTGGCATAGCTGTTCACCTGAGGACACACACACACAAAAGACACACAGTTATATGATATGAGACTGTTTATCTAAACATTCCATTATAAGGAACAGAAATTTATGCAGATACATTTTTGAAAAGAAAGTCCTCTGATCGCTATAGTCAGTAATGAAAATTCACCCCATCTACTTTCTAAATGCATGTTATTGATATTATTGCATGTGTAATCTACATAAAGAATAAGACATGCAGTTGCCCCACACACAAAAAAAGTATTTTAATGTAAAACTGCAACAAAGAATTGCTCATTGTTAACATTAACTAATTGAATCTTATTGTAAAGTGTTACCCAATTTTCTTTTAAAGCAACTTTACAAACTTAAACATTTAATGAAATATGTAAATATAATTTCCAGTAAATATAAAAATGCATGGCTCTTAAAAATAAATATACATAGTTCCTTTTTGTGGTGGGGCCAGTGAAGATTTTGGCAAAGCTAGTAAAAACCTAAACTAATAACCCAACTGGTCTGCCAAAAAAAAAAAAAAATTGTTGCACACTCTAAATGACATGGAAAAAAAAATGTACATGGACAACAGACAAAAGCATTTGAAATGAAAACACAGACCCTGTCTATGAGCAGTCTCACTGTGTCACTGGTCATAGATTCTCCGGGTAGTGGCCACTCCTCCACTCGCAACACTGGCAAGCTGTCAATCACTGGCACTGCATGTTTACTGCAACCACACAACACAAACAAACACACATCAATTAAGGAAATGCATTTTAAACTCGCTGCATGAAAACATTATGCATATTTTATTGTAGCTGACATCTGCTCTTCTTGACATGTCATCCATTAGCAAAGTACAAAAATCCTAAGATGTTTAACCCTTCTGACCCCAACTGACCACATCAGTCAATGGTTTAATAAGAAACCAGCATCAAAGAAAACTGGTTTCAAACAGCACATTTCATGATTTACATCTCATTCAAGCGAGCTTCAGATGTAAGCAAAGATTTAATGACTACAAAGCTTATTTTTTGGCAGAAATTAATTAAACTGGCCTTTTTAAATTAACATCGGTCAAGTCTATTTCTAGTTCATTAGAGACAGTATTTTATTCTTTCAAGCAACCACAGAATAGTAGCGCTGGATATCACAAGACGTAAAGATACTTCTATGCTGCTTTCCTTCAAGACATTAACAGATGGAGGCATCTTAATAGACAGGAAGTCAAGCAAACAATAAATGTGGATATGCCTGAGAAAGCAGCTTTTTGCAGGTTTCCATTGTCTCTGCTTAAAAGTGCATTCAAGCTTATGCTCACTGGATTCAGACATCAATCAAATAGTATTCACAGGACTTGGCATTACACATCTTAAGGTTTTTCACACTACAACACTATTAACATACTACAACTGTCCCAGACCTTACTTTTGAATAATTAAAGTGTCATAGTCGAAACGAGCCTGTCCTGTTCCTCCACTGCTTCTTTGCAGGTTCTCATTGGTTGCTGAAAACTACACTGTTGTCAGGGGCTTCTTTTAACTTAAATTTAACCCACATCAGTACCCCAATATGACTTCACACAAGCCCCGCCCACTCCAGCTAGACTGTCTGACCTCCCACTATAATCTCATTAAATATTCATGCTGACTCATTAAAAGCTCATTATTTATTGGAAGAAGCTGGTCAGGGGGTATTGGGGTACAGAATAGGGGCTGCAAAGGTGAGGTACGGAGTCCTTGTCATGGTGAACATTACCTGGATCGTGGGCGGACCAGAATGGCCCGGTACAGCAGGCTGCAGGGCAGGAAGCGGGTCCGGCCCACTGAGAGGATGATGGGATGCAGGGCGGCCAGTACGTAGCCCTGGGTGTAGTAGGACTGCAGGGCATGGGGCAGCTCGCACAGCGAGGACAGATACTGTACTGTAGGCCGACTGCCTGTGTGGAACACAGCACAACTAAAACTTACAATACACTCAGGGGAAACCACCATATAAGCTAAGCTAATATAATTAAAACATAATGAAAATATTATGAAGCTACAGGTTGTCTCACAAATCCAGACTTTTGATTATGTGCATTGTTTTTCATAGTTTCTTTTGGCCAAGAACTGCCCATTTAGACACCAAGTGGTCATCTGATTGACATGTAAAGCGACCAATCACCATGAACGCATGTGACTTTTAGGGTAGGTAAACATGAAACTGGATATTTGAAATTGGATAACTTGTTTTGCACTCCTGAAAATTGTGTAAAGACAACCAATCAGATTGATGACACAATCTTGATAAAGCACCCATTTTAATTTGCAATATACATCATATATCATACACAAGAAGCCCATCTGAGCCTAACGGTTCATCACTGATTATACTATATTTTGTTCTAAACACAGCATGTACACTATAGCTCAAAAGTTTGAATTCAGTAAGACTTTTAAATGTTTTTTAAAGAAGTCACTTTTGCTCACAAAGGCTATATTTATTTGACCAAAAATACAGTAAAAAAATTATGTTATGAAATATTACCATTTAAAATAAACGTTTTCTATTTAAAATATATTTTAAAATGTCATTTATTCCTGTGATTGCAAAATTTTCAGCAGCCATTACTCCAGTTTTCAGTGTCATATGATCCCTCAGAAATCATTCTAATAAGTAACAATTATTATTATCAATGATGAAAACCGTTATAATATTTTTGTGGAATCTATGATACAATTTTCCAGGATTCTTAGATCAAAAGAAAGTTCAAAAGAACAGCATTTATTGAAAATAATTTTTTGTAACATTACAAATGCCTTGACTGTCACTTTGAATAAATTTAAAGCATCCTTGCTGAATAAAAGCTCAAAATTGTTGAATTAACAATGTGAAAATATCAGTTTTATTCAATCAAAATCATTAAACACCTAAAATATAATAAAAATGATCTGTAATCAAAAATAAGTTTAGAAGTAGCTGACCATGCACAGCATTACATTCCCAGATTCCATTCCACTTAGGATGCTGTCTATGTAGGCAGCAAACAGCAAGACCGCCCACTAGGTGTTGGAACAGAGCCTATGTTAAGTTTCTCTAAGCGGCTCTTCGATAGCGTGCTACCGTTTAGTTGGCTTCTTTCTCCTGTCTTCAGCCTGACAGAAGATCACCCTGACGTCTCCCTCCTCTCCCCCCAACCCCCAACACACTTCCTGTGTCCACAAAGAGCTGCTGTTCACAGGGTGGGCTGGCCCCACGCCACACACCCTCAGCCTCACAAACACAACATTCCACCACACAACACAAACATACTCGCACAAACATTCAGTCTTTTGGTTCCCACACTGGGGCAGACCAGCAAACAGAATTTTAGTCTGAGAAAACCCAGACCAAATATCTTCTCCCTGTAAACTCATCCTCAAAATGGTAAACAGGAGAATGAGCTTTTGACTCTCCTCCAAGTCTGATTTGGCAGCTACCTGAAAGTTGTACCATCCCAGCAGTCTGTGGCCAATAAAGGGCTTTGACAGGCATGTATGCATGCCCGTCCCTCACACCTGAGCTTCAGAGAAGCGTCAAAGACACAATGGTCCTCAGGGGCCAAGAAAAGCGGTGAATTATTCACAAAGATATGGACCCTGGAATGGCCAGCAATTTGTCCCAAACCCTTGAACCCCCCCTCCTGTCAACTCACACAGAGGCCTCTGTTCTCCAGAGAGACAGAGACCGTGTGCGTGCGCGCGTTTAAAAGAGGAGAATCAAGAATATGGATGAATAAAAAGAAAAAGGCGTGAGAAGACTGAAGGTATAAAGGCTTCAGAGGGAAAATGAGAAACAGACAGACTGGGATATAAGAGAAGGAGAAAAAGGAAGTAGAGTGAAGGAATTTATGGGATATTTTATGACCCAGATAGGTTTTAGGGGAGAAAAAAAAAAGATGTCTTGTCTTGTGCATGAACAGTTTGAGAGTGTAAAGAAAAGGTGGCAAATGACGAAGTGGACAAAATTTCCAAAATATTTCTAAAAGATTTTTATGTTTTGCTTGCATTAAGGAAAAGAATACCATTTTCTTATAGGATTTTTTTTAATAAAAGTATATTTATACATCTTGGTAGTATTTTTGTGCTTAACTTCCATCAAAAAAAAATAATCTTGCAATTCAATAGATAGTCATGGTCCTAAAAACAAGATTAATTTTCATAATGCAAAATATTGTTCCTTTCCTTTTTGAGTGTGAGTGAGTGAGTGAGTGAGTGAGAGAGAGACCCCAGAAATGTTTTCACCCTGTAAAATATTGCAAGGTCATAGCAGTTCATTTCAATCACAAGCAATGTGACAACCTGATAATCATAATAATAATCTGATAATCATCCAAGGTAAATTTATAAAATTAAACTGCATCAACTGGACATTCAGACCCCAGTTGTAATTGTTCCTAAAAATGTAATATGCTACATATATCAGGAAAATCATTTTTGTACTCAAATCCACTAGCACGCCAGTATGAGATTAACCAAAAAGGAGATTACACCAACATACCCCCACATGGAGCAAGAGGATTTTCTCAATGGATTAGTATCAAATTGAATTGAATCAAATATTTTCAATTAAATGCTCTGACTATATACCAGGTTGAATACTATGTTGAATACTATCATTTAAAGGAGTAGTTTACCCCAAAATTTTAATTGTCATCATATACTCATCTTCACTTGGGGAGATATGAGGGTGAGATTGATTAATTTTTTTGTGGGTGAACAATGTTTCCTTATTGGACAGGACAATTGCTGAAGGTCTGTCAAGTGGTGATTTAAGGCTAAACTGAGACATTACTGAAGCTAATCCCTTTTTTTTCTTTGCTGCAGTGAAACTGGTCCAAAGTAGAGATTAAGGCCACTAGTTGTAATTCTGTCTGCCTCTGCAACAAGAACAGCTGGCTTTCTACAACTAACTTCCCAAATTAAACATCAAGCAAGTTCCTATAAACATGAAAGGCATTACTAAAATGGCTCATTTAGAAATGAACAGATGACGTTTTTGCATTTTAATATCAATAAATGGTCTTTTTGGGGGGTTTGGGCAGTGAACATTACAGTATTTTACATGTCAAATTCTTATATTTCTAAAAAATAAAGAAGAGAAAAATTAATTTTTTTAATGATATGACTTTAATACGATCAAAAGTTAACCTCCTCTCATCAATACACATATTGACTATCCAAGAGAGCCACACATATGGAGTGCACCAAACCTTGGACATTCCCAACACCCAAGTCATGAACACCTTTTACCATTTTGAAGAAGATCCTTCACATGTAGCTTTGCAAATCCTCTTGTACAACAATCAAGACTTCTAAGGTTATTTGACAAAACAGTCCACTGTGAACACTGCCGGAAACACAATACAGCACTCTTAAAAATAAAGGTTCTTTAATGCCATCTATGGGACCATGAAGAACCTATAACTTCAATGCAAACTTCCCATTGCACAAGTTCTTCAGAGTAGAGAGAGGTCTGTCCTGACATGAGTTGAAAGACAAGTAAGAGTCTATGCATGAAGTATGCAAAATACAACAGCTGTGGTATTTCTTACAAGCCATACAAAGTCTGTATCAACTTCATGATCAGCCCTACCATGGTTTTTAGATAGAAATAGGTGTACATGCCAAGCTAAGGTTCATGCCTGCAAAGAAGAACCAAGTCCAAAGCTACAACTACATCTTATAATAACCCACAAACACAAAACTCACAGACATCAACATGGCCGAGGAGGTGTTTCCACAGGTTACACTCAATATGCAGACAGCGCGACGTGAAGGAGCCTGTGATGCAGATCTGTCTAAATAATGGGCCTCATTCATGAAACACGAGCAGAACTAATTTGTGTAAATCGTTCGTAAAGCCGTTCTGACGTAAACTTTCAAATTCATGAAAATGTTCATATTTTCAAAATGTTAGTTGGTACGAAAGAAATGTACACCTGCTCCCTACCACGTGTAAATGGTGCATAAAACGTTCTGTGTTCTTTTTGGCAAACTGATGGCACTGAATTTTGATGCACTGCCATAATAATTACAAGTCCATTTGCCCTTGCCCTCATTTAGAATTTTTCCTTTATTTATTTTGCAGCTGAGTTGATAACTATAAAACGCAGCGCTCGTCACTGTCACTATTTACCATAGACTGTATAAAAACATGGACGTAGTGTCCATGACGTTACCGTGACGTCACACCTCAGCAGCGGAAGTCGTCATAGTTGGGTTAACTTGAATAGCAGTGAATGGGAGAGTACCACAAATATATTTTTTGCATTCCCATTTGCTCAAATAGCAAAAGAAAAACTCCACGATAGTGCTTTCATGACTTTCAATAAAAGAAAAAAAATTAAGAGAGACTGATAACGGCTGTCAGAAGAGAGAACGATGTCAAATTTACCGTCCCACCCATAGATGCTGCATTAGAAACACCCTCGCATTAGCTACAAATATGAAAAACTTTCGAGGATTTACGATGCTGATGACCGTTAAACGCGTCATCACAGTCTTGTGAAAAGGGCCCATTTGCGTAGCTGTAATTCATAGGCGGGGCTTATGCTAATGGTGAATGAGCGTGAACGAGCGCCCCATTTACGAATGATTGCAATTCATTAACATACACGTTTAACTAACAAATCGGACGTTTACGAATTCGTGAATCCGGAGGAGAGTTTTCGGGAAGGTCTGTTTTACACGCAAATTACTCATAATTTACTCATATATTTACGCATGTTTAAGGCCTAATGTGAGCAAACCGGAAAGCAGTGTCAAACACCGTCACTTCAGGCATCTGTACACCAGGTGTTCTCAGGAATGAAAGGCTGGAATGAAGGGTGAACTGACATGCCAATTTACTTTTTCCTCAAATTTCTCACTCCTTCACTTGCAGACATGTTTATGTTCAGACAAAAAGGTATCTGACCAAAGATGTGTTGCATTACAATATGATTTATTGTTCTGCCATTATTAAGGCTTTTGATGCATGTTGACCTTTGAGACCAGGTGACAGCACTTCCAGGGCCTGTAATTTACAGTGGAGATCAAAATTAGAGAACAATCAATAAATACTTGATTTTTTTCTGAAATATTGTTAATCTTCATCACTCAAAATTTGAAGGAATATTAGCTGTGGGTATACCACTGTTCTACTAATATGTTTTACAAAATAACCAGAGAATTTCAGCAAAAAAAAAAACATTATTTTGTGGAAAACAGTGATCAAAATTAGAGAACAGTAACGAAAGAAGCACGAAAGAGGGTTACAACTAAAATTTTGGAGGGTTACAGCTGTCAAAAAGTGCGGCGCTCGTTTTGAATGACTTCGGGACATCTGCGGCCGCAGGACACCACTAGTTTCTCACATTGCGCTGGTGTAATCTTGGTCCACTCTTCTTCCAGTCTCTTCCATAGTTCGGTAACTGATGAGTTTCTTAGACATAACTTTGTTACCAAGGATTTTCCAGAGATTTAAATGGGGTTTAGATCAGGACTCTGGGCTGGCCATTTCATTATTTCAGTGTTCGTAGCTTCATGGAACTGCTTTACCTGTTTTGCAGTGTGACGGAGCATTGTCTTGCATGAAAATTCCAGGTTGATTGGAAGATGCTTGCAGGGAAGGAACTGCATGTTGCTGAAGACGTTTCTGATAAACATTTGCATAGGGTATATGTCGAACGTCACCCGGAAAACAGATCTCATCGATTCCGCTTGTTGGAGAACGTGCTAACAGCCGCAATAAATAATAGCGATATCTATGGACTCTTAAGATAATCAGTTAAACAAGCTAGCTGTTTTTATTGTTGACGTTTTATTCAATTTTTTTATATAAATGTTCGTGAAGAGAATAAAAATAAAAACTTTTAGATATCAGTCCGCATATGTGATGGACATTGGTTATGCTCATCTTTGGAATCTACTTTGAAGGCATCTTGAGTAAAACTGCTTCATATTTAACGAAGCATAAGCAAAACACTTGAACCGGAAGTGGCGAGACCAGGTTAACAGAACACGGAAGTCTGTTGCGCATAAGCCCTATTCACCCTGCCATGTAGCTCTATAAGAGACCCAACTCCTGCTGCAGAAAACATCCCCCAAACGATGACACTTCCTCCTCCACCTTCTTCACACACTTGGGGTTCAGTCTTTCCCCAGTTTGACGCCAAACTAATGGCGCTTTTCCACTGCATGGCACGGCACGGTACGGCTCGGTACGGTTCACTTTTGGGGGGTTTTCCACTGGGTACAGTACCTGGTACTTTTTTTAGTACCACTTCGGTTGGGGTTCCAAGTGAACCGTACCGTTACCAAAACGTGACGTGTAAACTCTGCTGATCACGGATTGGCTGGAGAGAATCGTCACTACCTGCGTCACTGAACTTGCGACACAAACACAAAAGAACCGCTAGATTTAAATCAGCACAGCCAGCAAAGGATCGAACGCAACTGTTTTGAACGAGCGCACCTTTTTTTTAACAACCAAAAAGTTTTGTTGTCTGTTGCGGAAGTACAGACGTTCCTCTCGTTGATAGCAGAGGAGCGGATCCAGCGAGAGCTTGATGGGTTAACGCAGAATGAAAAAGTTTTTTTTAGGAATTGTGGTAGTAGAGGCGGCGCAACTATAACGACATGTGAATAATCCCGCCCACTCTAAAGCGGTACTGAACTGCAGTGGAAACGCAAACCGTGCCGAGCCGAACCATGCCGTGCCGTACTGAGCCGTACCGAGCCGAGTCGTACCACGCAGTGGAAAAGCACCAAAAATGTTCCCCATCTGACCCAAATAAATTAAACTTGCTTTCATCACAAAAGTGAACTTTAGACCAGTTCTCCTCTCTCCACACAACATGCTCCTCAGCAAAGGTGAGCCTAGCCTTTTGATTCTTTCTGCTGATGAGATGCTTGGTCACTGCAGAGAATGCTTTCAGTCAGACTTCTCTTCAACATACTGCGGCAGATCCTTATCCTGTTCAGCGCTAAACTGGTGAGCAATTCCAGCTGCAGTGTTGAACCGATTGGCCATTGAGAGTCTCCGCATTATCCTGTCTTCTTGTGCACTTGTTTTACGTGGATGACCAACCTTTGGGGGAACTGAATGAATTAGAATCATTGTAAAGCTGCAATATTCAAGAAATCACAGATTTGGAACGAACAACTTCTCTTGCAGAGGCTGAAAGGGTCAACCCTTTGGCCTTCATCTGGACAACCTGCTGTTGCAGAGTTTCAGTCACCTTCAGGCACACCATCTTGCAATCTCAGTGAAAATTAGAGGAAAGCTGCCAGTTAAATAGGGATTGTCATATAATTAAGGAAATTATACCATCACAAAACGGTCATTTTAAATGCGTGTTACCAACTAGATATGTATATAATTTTGTCTACATTTTTCTATACTACATTTCTATTGTATTCTGTTGCTGTCAAAGAAGCATTATCTACAGAAAAGTGCCCCATACTCGTCCCAGATTTGATCTGAAACCTACTCTAAATGTATGTGTCAGAAACACGTGGTCATCATCGGAATGGAATGAGTGCTTAAATTTGTTTAAATTATTCAAGCCTGTTGTTTGGACAATAAGTACTTTTCTTTTAATAACTGTTAAGAGTCATTTTCATACTATGCAGGACAGGACACTTTCAGGAGATACGATTAACTATCAGGACAAATGCGAAATATTCTATTGGGTTGTAATATTTCTAGTCCTCTGTTTCTAGAAAAAATGTTCTATGTTGAAATAATATGGCCCAGTTTCACAGACAGAGCTTAGCTTAAGCCAGGACTAGGCCTTAGTTAAATTAGAATATTTAAGCAGCTTTTATTAAAATTACTTATAAAAAAAACATGACTGGCATGCATCTTGAGACAAAACAATGGCACTGACATATTTTAAGATATGCCAGTGCAAGTTATTTTCAGTTGAGACAGCTCAAACATGCATTTTAGTCTAGGACTAGCCTTAAGCCTTGTCTGTGAAACTGGGGCTATAGGTTTTTAATCAAGTTAAAATGTTGTCTTGAAATTTTAGGGAAAATGGGTCTTACATAGTTTTTAAATGTTACAAGTATTTTTGCCATGAAAATAGCTGCATGGCATTCAAAACAAATAAAGTACAGTTTTCTTTTAAACTGGAAAACTGTAGGCTACATCTCATTTCCCATCATAAAATTATATTTTAGTCGTTTAGGAAATATCACACAAACAAGAATCCCATATAGCTACTGAACATCAGCCTATCTGCATTCAGCAGCTTTGTATCTCAGGATATCAGTAAACAAAAGTTAATATGAAGTAATTTACATGTAAAACGAATTTTGACGAGTTATATTGTATTGTATATTGTACAGCTTGTATATTTTTCAGTTTCAACGCACAGACTGAAATATCTGAAGCTCCGTAAAGTGGAGTGGAGCGAAGCGACTGATGTTTCCTCTCCATGCTAACAGTGTTAAGTAATCACTCCAGGTTACTACGGGTTTTTCCATTTCCCTCTCAAGGCTGGTTCGCAACAGAAACCCGCACCAATTTTCAAACAATCCGTTTCTCCTCCAAGCAAATTTACACATCACTATATTTTATACTGTACTGTAATATACTATACTATACATTCCAAAAACGATGGATATGGGCAGTACAACGTAGACTGCGCATGGTCCCTTCAAACCAAGAATATTAGAGATAGTGGAAACTGCTACACAGAGGAAGTGAGCATGACTGAATGTCATCTTGTGGAACAGACGCGGGTGTGCTGCCGTCTGTGCGCCTCAGACGCCGTTAATAGAGGGAAAAACCTCCTGACCTATTTCCACATGTGATGAAGCTCTGGCGCTGTTGCTGGGTAAAACGGTATAAGCTCACACACTCCAGGACACACATGCCAAGATTCATCATGCCACAAGTTTGAAAGTACAAACATGGCATTGACTCAAACCACAGTGAGCTGCCTACCTAGGCAGCATTTTTGTCCATTATTGGCACGTGCCACAGCTTTCTAGCCAGACAGCTTGCTAAGTTTTGAGAAACAGCTGAATGAACTGGAGCTCTTTCTCATTCATTACACCCTTACAAAATGAAAATGTACCAAGCTAAGCGTAATCTTCTGCAAATAAATAAATACATTTAAATAAAAAAAACATACTTGCAGTTATTGTTGGTACTCTAAAAAAAACTTTCAGAACAGTTGTCAGTTGTTTAGTTTCTTTTGTAACAGTTAACTAATAATGAGTTAACGCAGTTTCATTACAAGAAGAATTTAGTAAGAATAACTTAACTGGTATTTGATGGATTTTTTGTAAGCGAGCATCACATACAAATTTTTGTTTACTGCACTGATCTGTACCTTCCAAACTGAAGTCCAGCAGCACATACTCGTACACGGAGTCTGTTTTGGACTCGACCTGTGGTCTCTTTAAAGTGGAGTAGATTTTTCCCGGGCTGCTGTCCTCCGGGTCCTCCAATTTCCGTAATCCACATCCCATATTTGCGGGCTCTCCAGCACACGCAAGGCCGAACACGGGGCGACCCACTCGTTCACGCACTCAGAGGACTCCCGCTCCCGTGCTTAGTGGGTTTGCTTCATATTCCAACAACTTAATCCCTTGGGAGTGGCACTAAACCGAGAATGACGTGCCGTGTGTCCGATCCCGTTTAAGAAAACGATTTAAGTCAAGCAAAGATTACCAAATCCTTCTGGGAGGTCTTTATGAGACTAAAATAATAAAATACTCTCTGAAGTTGTGAAATAAAGAAATCCAGATTATCTTCATTAAAATCTCAATCAGAAAACCACATCTCATTCAGTCTCCCTATGTGGCCGCGAAATAATCAAGTAAAAGTTGTAGTGGGCTGGAATCATGTTGAAATTAATGAGCGGGCGTGGCGAAGGAAAACTATTAACAGGGCGGGGCTGAATATTAAACAGGAGGAGGGGTGTGTATAAATTATAAATGTTTACACAGCAGACAGACAACGTACTACTATTGTTCCTTTTAGTTATTTTGACTCCTAATGTTTTTGGGACATTTTTCAAATTCGTATTACACAAATTAATATTTTGAGATATGGAGATTAAGAAAGAAAGAAAGAAAAAAGACAACCCTAACGCCTATTAAAACACCTTTATTTTCATTTTAATATTTAATAACTGTTTTGTTAAAGAATGGGATGTAATAGTCATTTTTACACCCCCTCAACAATGATTCATGGTGAAAAATTCCTACCAAAACCAGCAATGAAGCAAATAACTTTTAGGTCACTTTCTGGCACAGTGTTATGCAGGGATGGAAATTCTATAAAGTGACTTAAAACCACATTAACTGAAGACTGTAGCACTAGAAACATCTGTTCAATTAAGTGGTAGGCTAAACTTGTTGGCCATACAAAATTTGAGGAGCTGAGTAGAAAATTATATGTATGAGCAAGAGCAAGAGGGAATTTTCGAAAATTAACGTCTAAAATACTTAATTTACTAACCACTTGGGCATTCATTTAACCCATTCCATCTATTTCAGAGCTGTTATGCTATACCTTCCTTAAACCAGTAACACAGCCAGTGATCAGATGTGGGTTTTTTTAAGTGTTATTGTATATTATACAATAACACTTGACTTTCAGAATTTCAGTTACTACAGACTTGTGGGAGTGAGATGTTGTGTCACACGTGGGCCTTACTGTATGTCGGCAGCTGTAATGTTGGCCTGATGTAGGGGCGTTTACAGGGCATCTGGATCTTGGTTGTGCATTTTAGAAGTAGCATACGGCTAAAGAGCAAACAGACATGCACCACTGTGGTTAGACATCAAAGATAGTACCTTTTCTCTTATATTAGCAAATAAGAGCATTTTGTTAATAAAATAGAACAAAAGAGAGAGAAGGAAGGAAGGAGGCCTCCAAATGGGGGGAGCAGAGGAAAGCTAAGAGACACAACTCAAATAATTCAATGTGTTTATTATGTGGCTCTATTTTTACACAGCTGTGAGTGAGTCAGACTTCACCCAGGCTAAAGCGGAACAAAAAAACAAAACAAAACATGAAACTGCCAAAGTAGCTTCTACTTTGCTACTGTACCAGCTGTCAAACTTACAGCTGAAAACAATGCCCACCTGCTGGCTCTGAGCACCATGCTGAACAACAATCTCATTAACCAGCCACAAAGCAGCATATTTTTGAAAGCAGCTAATTTTAGTGGCTTTGTGTGCTGCTTTATTGTTTTGGCTCTTGCCATTCAGAACACAATAGTTATGATTAGGGATTAGTTTCCATAGTTTTCCCAAATTGATCCTTCGAAAACATCTTTGTGTCAAATTTCCTGTAATTCTTTTTAGATTATGTGGCCTTGGGTTGCCCTGTAAGACAACAGACATCTGATGCATCTATAGATTATAAGAGCCAAATCCAAAGTTGGAATAATATAGTATTTGTTAATCTTTCACAGAAATTAAAGAACATCCCAACTGTATCTATCATGCCAGGCTCAGAAAGATCAGTTTCAATCTCGACAGTAGGTCACACATCTGTCTGCCCGTGTGCTTCTTAGAAATAACACTGAAAAACCAAGTCTGGGTCCTAGACCGGAAACCGCTGTCATTCTGAGACCACACCCAGAGGACACTGGGAAGGAAACCCATGCCTGTAGGAAGGAAACAAACATACGGTAGGTAGTTAAACTGCCACAAAACTGTATGCAAATGTTAAACACTTACACTAATTATTTATTTTCAGTTAGTTTTTCCAAAAATCACACTCACTATTCATTTCTCATCTGTCTCCACATTTTCATCTCAAAATGAATACAGACATCGTCATCTGATACACATCACTCCACTTTATAATCCCACCTCTGTTCCTGTGAGATTAAACTGGCCTACATCAGTCACTCTGACACATAATCCGGACTCGATGCAGCCTATTTATCTATTCCTGAGCTCCAGTGAGATCATATCTGATGAGAATCAATTGTAACTTTTTACAATCATTTTCAACATTAGAGCAGCACAAAGCACTGTCACCTCACAACAAGTAGGCCCCTGTGGTTTGAAGCCTGGCATAGGAAAAATGGTTTTGAAAATGTATGGATGGAGGGTTTGATTTCAACATTTAGGCTATTTCAAACTGACACTTATTTGTGTTTGATTTAGTGATGGAATTGTATCTTATTCCATCTCGTGGCGAAATTTAAAAGGACTGATCTACAAAATATAGGGGAAACTGAGTATTGTGAGTTGTTACCAATCAAAAAGTAGCTTCACGAGTGAAGTCACTATATCAGACATGGCAACTACCCTACTGAGGTGGCTGTAGACGTATTTTGAAATGAAGACAAAATGTTAAACTCTCCCCATTCTCTCTAAAACTAATTATTAATACTATTGAGAAACAATCTGCCAAGAAATAATACAAGTAAATATTAAGGTTGCTTAGCTCCGATTCATCATTCAGAAAATGCTAATTCAAACAGGACTTTTTTAAGGACACAAATGCCATTAAACTGTTGGCCTCATAAACAGGCAAATTCAGTTTTGTAAATGAACGCTACTCGTCTCTTCTTCAATACTTGTGACACAGCGCCATCTAGCGTTAGAATTTTCACTCATCTCATTGTGTAATAGAATTTGTTGTGGATCTTTTCCACTCATCCTGGTCAGTTAGATGACACATTTACCAGAGAGTGGTACTCTGACTGTGATAAATAATTCAAATAAATTATTATTAATAATAAAAAGAATGTGTGTGTTTGTGTGTATGTATATACTGTATATATATATATATATATATATATATACATAATCAAATTATATATATACATTTGTAATATTTAATAATTACTTTATTAAAGAATGGGATGTAGTAGTCGTTTTTCATTCCCAAACCATAATTCATATGAATAATTTTATTATTTCACTTTGACAATGTAAAGCAGGGATGAAAATTCTATAACGTGACTTGAAACTGACTAGAAACACCTGTTCAAACAAAGTTATAAGCTAAATTTGTTCGCCATACAGAAGAGAATATATATATATATATATATATATATATATATATGAGCATAAAGTTATAAACATGTTATAAACACAATAATGCAAATGTAAAGTTTTTAGCCTCTTCCCTCTTGTGAAAATGTGAGAGTTTGTAACCAGATGACCCTACTCTTTTCATTACTTTCGGTGAAGCTCTTGAGAGCGTTTTAAACACTTTGATCCAACACGAGAAAAGCAATTCAGTTTTGAATGTGAAGAGATGTAGAGTGCAGATGGAAATGACAGACGAAAACAAACAGTGCTGATAGAAACTAAGATTCTGTGTTGAAACATTTTAAATGATAAGAGGCAATTATGCAGTAAAGATTGTTTCAGATAGTGTTGCCTTCAAAAAACGTTTCAACCTTCTAAAAAGCTTTTTGCGTAGTGCATTGAGCACTTTTGTTCAAAACCTCTCATAAAAACAGTGAACATTTGATTTTGACTTTTTTATTTTATTATTTTTTTTAAATACAATTGAAGCAATAAAAGACTTGAGATACAAATACTCCCTGCACATGCTGTTTTCTCGTTCTACACCGACCAGGGAGCTGAGGAGTGAAGGACGCTGAGATAAGAGCAACACGACCCTGACACACATCTGTCACCTCTCACACTCGCTTGCGCTCTCGGGCAATAACAAGCTCTTGTTTTGGACGGAGTCTATTAGGCTACTCACAACTCACTTACATAAAGTAAAAAACATTGAAACATTTAAACGTAGTTTACAAGACAGCTACTGGGTAAACAATTTATTTAGGGATCCTAAATCACAGAAGCATATAAGATGAGCCATATTCTCAAAGTAAACCCTGTAGGCTATTTGTTAAATTTTCTTACTGACGTTTGATGTAGTTAATGTTAAGGTTCTTAAATCGTTGTAGTACTTCAGGTCATACACTTGAGGGCGTGATACACATGAGGGCTATTTAAAAACGATGTATGATCACACTTCCGTGAATACTGCTGTATGTTTTGGAATATTTCAAGATATGCATGCACATACAGTTCAGTTATTATAGTGGACACAAATCTAACCTTATTCATATCATTTTGCTGTGTTAACCTGGTTCTAAAATTTAAACAAATGACAGAAAAACAGATACTTTGTTACAACAAACTTTGTTGCTGATTGAGAATATTAAGCTTTTTTTTTTTTCCTTCACATAAATACTCCATATTTTGCTCAGAAGGCTAATTCATATTAAATGGACATTGCCACATTTTCTAAGAGGTAACATAAATAGAATGTGGCAAAAGTTGTGGAGTTGGGTGTAAACTTGCTTTGAAATGGGAAGATTTAGTTTTCAAACCTCTTTGCCTCTGTTAACTCAGACACACACACACACACACACACACACACACACACACACACACACACACACACACACACACACACACACT